CTCTGTCACCAGGTGCCAGGCTGGAGTGCAGTGGCGCGATCTCGGCTCACTGCAACCTCTGCCTCCCGGGTTCAAGCAATTCTCCTGCCTCAGCCTCCCGAGTAGCTGGGACTACAGGCACGCGCCACCATGCCCAGCTAATTTTTGTATTTTTTTTAGTAGAGACGGGTTTCACCATGTTGGCCAAGATGGTCTCGATCTCTTGACTTCATGATCCGCCCGCCTCGGCCTCCTAAAGAGCTCGGATGACAAGCGTTCCGTTTAAGCTTTGAAGTTGGTGATTTCAGGAGGAGTCTGTGAGTGACGTTTTTCTGTTGAGGTTGGAGCTGTACCTTTTTTGGCCTGTAGAGGGCGGTGCTGGGCTCTCGGGCTCAGTCAGGTTGCTGGGTGGGTGGGCCTTCGCTGGAGATTGTTTGCAGGTGAGTTGGGCCCCGCCTTCCCGATGGCACCTCCCAGAGCTCCGGCTTCCTGGTTGGGGTCCAGCTGGTGTATTTGCGGCCCAGTCTAGCCAGGGCTTCAGTTTGAGCTCTGTGGAGGTGCGGCGGTCTGTTTCCCTGCTTTCATCCCTGCCTCCCTCTGTGGGACGGTCAGTCCTGCTGGCCTTAGTCCAAACTCCGCCCACGTCCCTGCGACAACTTGCCTCGCCCCGAGGTAGCTGCTGCTCAGGTTTGCATGGACCACCCACAGCGCCCCACCGTCTGGCGCGGCTCTCGTGGACCGTGGGTTGCAGGAGAGATGAGGTAAGCACAGGACCCGAAACGGAGCACCGAGGGGGTTAAGTCCCCCAACCCTCCGAGCCAGCTGCACATTTCAGGTGGGGACGTGCCCCCCGCCCTGTCTTGATTTGCCCCCCTGGGCAGCCCTCGCCCTGCGGCTCCTTCTCTGGGCCTATTTTGGGGCCCTATCAGTCCCCCAGAAACGAACCTGGCAGCTTGTTTGGAATCGTGAAGTCCCCTAGCCCTCTGAGTCTCATTGCGGGGAGCTGCATTCCGGTGCTGGCTTCTTTGTCATCATGGCACGCCCCCACCCCATTCTCACTTCTTTTTCTAAACAGGTAACAAGTTATCTTCAGCTTGCACCCCTCTGTAATGCACTCTAAACCCTGGAACTTCCTTAACCTCAAAACTGTAAAAAGAAGGGACTCATTTTCTTATGCACAAGGGCATGGCGTCTTTACTGAACCTTTGCAAGTGTTGTAAAATCAACCCAGCTGTTTTACCAATCATATCAGGCAGGGAAATAGTTCTCCAAATTAGAAGGGCAACTTTCAGGGGAACTATTGAATAACCTCCCTTGTCTGAAGCCCCCTCAAGTTCCCTTCTCATTACAGAAACTTAGGCAAATAAACGGAAACTTAGGCCAATTTTCTAAAAATCCTCATAGGTATATAAAACTTTCCAAAATTTAACTCAGGTGTTTAACTCATGGAGGGATGTTATTTTGCTCCTAAACCAAACCCTAAGAGCAGCTAAAAAGCAGGTAAGTCTGCAAACAGCAAATAATTTTTAAAATAAGCAATATATCTTCTATCATACATTAAAAGGGGGGAAAAACAGATAGGGAAGGCAAAGAAATAGCAGAAACACCATTTCCAATAGGGAGGAAAGCAGGTCAGGTAAACAACCATAACTAAAACCCCATAGCTCAGAAAATAAGTGGAAAAAGAGGCACTTTTTAATATGCATTTAAAAGGCCTACGGAAAACCAGGGCCAAACCTCTCAATCACTCTAAACTGTCTATAATGGACCAAAAGCCAAATAAGAATCCTGTAGCCTTTATAAAAAGGCTAAAAGAGGCGCTAATAAAGTGCACCTCCTTATCCCCTAATTCA